CTCCATCTATATTTACCCCTCTTAAAATAAACTAACCTATTAATAGAGTTTTTTTTTCTTTCCAAAGATACAAAATGCAAGCTTTCTGAGGGTCCTGTCCTTAAATAGAAATAACTCAGTTGTATGATGATACAATCTATAATTCATGTTAAATTAGTTTGATAATATAATTTGAGATTAACACAGCTAATTTACAATTTTTCAGTCCTCCAAAATTCTAAATTTAATACTCTATTTTTTAAAAAGTGAAATTAATTACTTGGCTACTAATGTAATTTTCCTCATTTCATGAATGATTGAATTAACCTGTGGGAGTTAGGACATTTCTTTGTTTTCTTTTCTTATACACTTTTTGTGAATTCCTTTTATTCAGACTTCAGCAAAACATAGACTGCTGTAACTTTGTTTTAAAGTAGTTCATGTAAATAAACCTACAGTATTCTTTGAGGATTAGAAATGCATTATATGATTTTTATTATTGTAGCTTAATGTGTAAACTGTATAAAACATCTTCATAGAAAGGCAAGTGGGGATATCTTAAGATGAATAAAATTAGTTGACAACTTGCACATCTGAAACTGCAGAACTTTACTGCAGAAAATCACTGGGAAATATGCTATATGTATATGGTGTTATGCGATGTTCCCCTCTATGATGAAATTTTTGTTTCCTTCCTTTCTATTTTCAGTGTGTCTAATAGTATGATTGTAATGGTAACCTATTCTACCAGGTGAAAGATATGGATACATTGTTATATTCGGGAGCTCATATATCTCTTTTGCTTCAATTTTGGAAAATTGTGGCATTTTTAAAATTTTGTTTATTACATAATTTACATCTAAGCAGAATTCGTATTAAAACCTGAGATTTTAAAATTGATGCAATATAGTACAGTTTGCATTTATGGTATTGGTTATTGCAGATTTTTATATATATTTCACTTAATATTAAAACTGGTTTTAACAATCCAAATGTAAATTATCTACACAGCAGTGTTGAGTGTTTCCACATAATTATAAGTGGAGTGTTGCAATACTGATTTTAAACTCTGCTGATTCTTTGGTGTGATTTTCTGTTTCTATAGATCAATGGTTTTGGAATAGAATGATAATTTTCTCTGTGCATATTAGCAATAGAATTCCAAATTGACTACAATTTATCCAGAGATTTGCCTATACCAGATAACATATTTTAATTAAATGTTGCTTGGTCAACTAATGATTCATGTCATATGAAATCAATCTTGTTGTTTCAAATGCCTTTGAAATAAAACCTCTGGTTCATTTGGGTTTTTTCCCTGTACTCATTATACAGCCTCTCCATTACTCACTAATATTGATTGGTGGACTCCTGGTTTGATTCTGAGTAAGCTGGGCTGAGACATATGTCTCCGAGAGTTTTGAGGATTTTTTAAAATCCTTTTAACTTTGAATCTTACTATATTCCTAATGATTTTTTTTTTCAAAAGTCATACTATATGAAAAAAAATATTTGCAAAGGGTTACCATTGGCAAAACACTATTCTTCAAATCATTAGAGTAATCACATCTTTTGGAAGGCCCATTTGCCTGCTTAATAATAATAATAATAATAAAGTTGGAAGGGACCTTGGAGGTCATCAAGTCCAACCCCCTGCTCAGGCAGGTAACCCTATACCATTTCGGACAAATGGCTGTCCAGTTTCTTCTTAAAAACTTCTAGTGTTGGAGCATTCACCGCTTCTGGAGGCAGGTTGTTCCACTGGTTAATTGTTCTAACTGTCAGGAAGTTTCTCCTTAGTTCTAGGTTGCTTCTCTCCTTGATTACTTTTCATCCGTTGCTTTTTGTCCTGCCTTCAGGCGCTTTGGAAAATAGCTTGACTCCCTCTTCTTTGTGGCAGCCCCTGAGATATTGGAACACTGCTATCATGTCCCCCCTCATTCTTCTCTTCATTAGTCTAGACATACCCAATTCCAGCAACTGTTCCTCATATGTTTTAGCCTCCAGTCCCCTAATCATCTTTGTTGCTCTTCTCTGTACTCTTTCTAGAGTCTCAACATCTTTTTTACATCGTGGTGACCAAAACTGGATGCAGTATTCCAAGTGTGGCCTTACCAAGGCATTGTAGAGTGGTATTAATACTTCGCGTGATCTTGACTCTATCCCTCTGTTAATGCAGCCCAGCACTGTGTTGGCTTTTTTGGCAGCTGCAGCACACTGCTGGCTCATATTTAAATGATTGTCCACTAGGACTCTGAGATCCCTCTCACAGTTGCTACTATTGAGCAAGGTACCCCCTATAACATACCTGTACATTTGGTTTTTCTTGCCTAAATGTAGAACCTTACTTTTTTCACCATTGAATTTCATTTTGTTAGATAGCGCCCAGTGTTCAGGTCTGTCCAGATCCTCCTATATCTTAAGCCTGTCTTCTGGAGTGTTGGCTATTCCTGCCAGCTTGGTGTCTTCTGCAAATTTGATGAGTTCCCCATCTATCCTCTCGTCCAAATCGTTGATGAAGATGTTGAAGAGCACTGGGCCCAGAACAGAGCCCTGGGGCACCCCACTACACACTTCCCTCCATGTAGATGTGGTTCCATTGAGGACCACACTCTGAGTACAGCCGGTCAGCCAGCTACTGATCTATCTGGTGGTGATGCTGTCTAACCCGCATTTTTCTGTCTTATCAAGTATCCACAGCATTTATCTGGTCCACTAATTTTGTCACTTGGTCAAAGAATGCAATAAGATTTGTCTGGTATGATCTGTTTTTGACAAATCCCTGTTGGCTTTTAGTAATGACTTTGTTTGTCTGTAGGTGTTTGCTGATTCGTTGATAAACTCTCTCAGTTTTCTGTATGTGCAAACAATACTTTTCACTGTTACTTCTGATAAATCAAAATGGATGTGTGCATGAAAGCTCTGATGCAAATTGCCTGAGAAATGCTATGCAAGTCTTCCAAGAATGTAGCTGCTTTAATACTTCAAGGAGGGGTACGTCACTCATTTTCAGAAGTGCCTTTTCAAAGGTTTGCACAATAAAAGCTCAATTATAGAATTATCTAAAGAGTCAGATGACTAGTATACAGTACTATGGTTGCATAATTCAGTGCTACCAGAAGTGATGAAAAAGAATTGTAATGGTGAAACTCGTCTGCCCTGATTTATTACTAATAAAGAGTGTGGGAAAATATTAGTAATGGTGAACTCCTAACAGTGTCATCAGTGAACTGATTTTAAATTTAAATTTATCTTCATAAGTTCCTGTTTCATAATCACTGCAATTCTATTCAGAGAAGTAATATAAGGGTAATGATAAGAGCAACAAGAAATGTGTAAATAAATATACTGAACTGAATTGTTTTTGGGATTAGAAATCAGATCTATAGGCATATGAATAAATGTTTCCTTGATTTTTTTAGAGAATGACACCTGTGTATTCACACCTACCATTAAAGTGCTAGAGACAATGTATTTGAAGTTAGCTATCTGTATTGGAATAAAAATACAGTTAATTATACTTTGAACAAAACCAAAACCAAAACCAAAGAAATATAAATTAAATACGTGAACATAGATGAAAAACAAATGCCAAAAATTCAGTCACTTTTTATTACATCAAGTATGATGTAATTGTTAATAGCAATAATTGGGTAGACTGATCAGATTTGGTTGTAGCATTATCAAATTGTTTAATTAACTACAGGTATTAAAACAATCACCAGCTGATTTGCAAACAATAATTTATTCTTATTTTGTTCTATTTATAAATGCAATGTTAAAAAATATTAAAAATTGTGCAGTATTGTTAATAGAGTATACAATATATCTTATTAAACTTCACCAACAAGTTTATATTCTAAAATAGTAGCAAATAATAGAATTGAGATAAAAAATAACAGAAATATTATGTCAAGTGATGATTTGAAATTAAGATTGATTTGTATGTATGTAAAAGAAGAGTTCTTGTTAAAATCTGTAAACATTTTAGTTTTCAAATTTTGATCTTTTAAAAAAGCTTTTTCCAAGGTTTGGAAGTTCTTGTTTTTTGTTTTATTTTTTTCATATTGCTCATGTTGACAGGAGATTTCCACACAGCTTGGAATGCATTACAGTGTTCCATGTGATCTTCAGATATTCAGTTCTTCCTGTTTCTTATGAATGCTTGTGGAAGTGACACATATACAAAGTAGAGAAGGGGGCCTTACGTGCACACTTTTCCTTGCATTTTATAAACATTCCTGAATTAATAAAGCACACATTATGTTAAGGACATATTTTATACTTTGTAAAAGAACCTGCTGCTTAATGAAGTTTTGGTTAAAAGAGCAAAATCTGGGATATTAATAAACTGTGCAGAGTGTCTTGGAGAAAAAAATATCTAAACCTGCACTTATGTAAAAAAAACACTTCTCTCTCCACATTGTTTGTGAACAAGGTTGTCAAAAAACAGAACAATTGATCTCAGCCTCTGAAATAGAAACTATCAACTCATAATATCTGTTTAATTGCCATCTGGAGGGAATATAAATCAATTGTTAAATCAATACAATGTGTCAATTTTGGGGTTTTTTTTTCACAGTACTTCAATAGCTGAATAATTATTTATTTAAAGAAAATAACAGTCAACCCATCTCCTTTAGATAGCAACTGAATGTAATACGTGATGCATTATATAAAATACTGCCATCAATTTTATTGTTGCTTATCAATCTAGATAAACTTCACTGAACTGCTGCATTTGAAGGACATGATGACTGGAAATACAAATTGACATCACTTGAGGGTTTTTTTTGTACTTCAATCATTGCCATCCAAGACTAAACACTTCAATAAAAGTCAATTTGCCTCCGACATAACAACAAGAAACATTACTATAATAGAGCAGGTGTCTTGCATTGGTACTGAATATCAGCAAATACAACTATGTTCTAAATGCTTCTAGTTTTAAAAAAATAGTTCTGAAAAATTCAAAGAAAAACAAAATGGGTTTTTATTGATATGTTTTACTTTGCTGGCAGACCAGAGCAAAGGTTTTCTGAACATTTAAAAGATGAAAAAGGTGAAGAATCCCAGAAGCGATTTATCTTGAAGCGAGATAATTCTAGTATTGATAAAGAAGACAATCAGGTTGGTTCTCAGTTCAAGAGTTGTTTTTTTTATGTTACTTTGGAAATGGGCTGACTGATGTTTTTGACATTTTTTTTGTTATTGCTACTGCATTTCTGTTCTTGTGTATTTCCCTCTCCTTCTTCTACAGTTTTTTTTTTTTTTTGGCATCCAGTGGAATAGTTTCAAGCCATAAATGTGTTTGTTTTAGCAGTTTGCATGGGCAATTTTGCTTGACACAAATGCTGCATGTGGAGGGGTGAATTGGAATGTTCAAAAGTTATTCCAAATGAATGGAATAACTAGTCAGCTACATTTTGGCATCTGCTTCTATGACCTTAGGCACATTGGCCAAATTCTACAGTAATGCAACTTGATTGAAAGTAATATGAATAAATAATAGTATAAGGAAGATGGGTTAGTAATTCAGTGAGATTAAACCGTTCTTGCAGTTATTTAAACAAGATTTTTCATTGGATAAAAATATTTGAGATTCCCCCAGCACCATGTTTTATTGCAAATGAAGCTTATTTGCTTGCTTTTGCATGTATGTGGCAGAAACTACCCCCCTTGTGCTGCTTATTGTATAATTCTGCATTAAAGATATTAGTATTGTAAATATCTTTACATAAATGTTTCTAGAATTGGGTATTTTAAAGGGTTTTTTAATTAACAGAAAATAAACTGAAAAGTGAGTGTTTTACTCTAAAAAGTACTTTAAATATAATAAAAACACAATTAAAAACAAAGAATTCCAAAAGACTTTGATTCTGGTATAAGCTTTCATAAACCTATTCAGGAAGGTAAGCTAAAGAGCATATTCTCATTCAATCTTTAGCACTTTGGAGTCACTCAACATCAGATCCTTTTTTTACTATTATTTTGTTTTTAAATACATAATTGTTTTCCTGGACCAAGTTGTTTGCTTTTTCTGAAAAGCAAAAATATTATATAGGAAGCAGAGATTGTGAGAAACACAATCCACTATGGAAGCAATATGGGGGAAACATTATGAGGGAGAAACAGTGGTGAAGAATCTGGAGCACAGCACATGAAGGTTAGTTGGTAATATGAAACTTTCTTTGCATTGTTTCTTTCCCATTTAGCTCTTAATGCTTTCTGAACATTATGATTTTTTTTCTCTTGCTTATAGTAAAAGTGTAAGGATTGTTGTCTTAGCATGATGAAATCTCTTGTGCATAGTATTGTTAAAAGCATATTCCTTATCAATAAGTCTACTTCAGCCTTTTTTGTTATTTGATTTTAATTTTCTTTTCCTTCATTTGATTGATGGCTGTATCTCCAATATTGACTCTTTCAATAAGTGCGGGGGGGGGGGATTTTAACTATTTTATTTATTTAGATTCATGCAGGTGAGATAAGCAGTATAGAAATTAGATTAAATCAATAAATGAGCTTTTCACCTAGCATAACAAAATATATATTTTTCACTAAAAGTTAATGCCAATTATTTGACAGATTCAAACTTAATATACTCAGGTAAAGTCATTTCCATATACTACACCAATACTGAACAAATCCTAAAATTACTAGCATCTGGGCAGCCTATAAATTTAATAAATTGTCATTATCATCATCAGTTTTTCTCCTGCTTGGTCAAGAGGACTTTGAATGTAAAAACAAAAAGTTCTGCTTCCCAGATCACCAATTCTCAAAGGTCAGTTGAGAAAAAAAAATAGTTGCTAATGCTTATTATTATTTAGTTCACAGCTTGGAAATGGCAATTAATAATAATAATAGTAAAGTTGGAAGGGATCTTGGAGGTCATCTAGTCCAACCCCCTGCTCAGGCAGGAAACCCTATACCATTTTGGACAAATGGCTGTCCAGTCTCTTCTTAAAAACTTCCAGTGTTGGAGCATTCACCGCTTCTGGAGGCAGGTTGTTCCATTGGTTAATTGTTCTAACTGTCAGGAAGTTTCTCCTTAGTTCTAGGTTGCTTCTCTCCTTGCTTAGTTTCCACCCGTTGCTTCTTGTCCTGCCTTCGGGCGCCTTGGAAAATATCAGGCGCCTTGAAAAATAGACTAAAATTGATAGACTAAAACACAGGATTCAGTTAATAGAAGTTCCATATAATATAGCAACTTAAGAACAGAGTTCATTATTATATTAAAATTATACAAACTAATGCAAGCAGTTCTAGGAGGTTAAAATGGAAGCAATTATTAGTCTTTTGGAGCTGCTGCCAATTAAAATAGGCGCTACCGAATTAGATGAGCCAAAGACATATTGGGGGATAAGGCAACTTCACTGATTCACAAAGAGATGTCTCCCTCCCTCCCCAAATAAATAGAAAGATAATGATAATTTTGTGTGATATCTGATATGTTACATTGCCTAACTTAGTAATTAGGAATGAGGCAACACTCATTCTCATGTATTGCTTGTTTAGGTGAACATTTATTTTTCACAGCTGACAGTTACTTAAGTATAGTATTTATCAGCTCAACTCATATGTATATATAGAGAGATTGTAACTCTAGTCCCACCTTAGCCATGAAAACCAGCTGGGTGACCTGGTCTAGTCACTCTCAGCCCAAACACCTCACAGAGTTTTTGTGGGGAAAACAGGAGGAGGAAGGTTGGGTATATTTGCTGCCTTGAGTTATCTGTAAAAATAATAAAGGCATGATACAAATAAAAATGATTATAGGAAATATGATGTAAATTTGTGTTTAATAAGTCCTTATTAAACAATTTTACCTCATGTTTCCTGTAATTGTAATTTTTTGGTTGATTTGATAAGTCATTTTTGATGCATGATGTGTGTATAAAAACCATCATGCAGTGAACATGGCTGGTGATATGATATCACAAAGATGCTTAAGATCCATTTTTTTCTTAGATTTGATCCAAAAACAGGAGAATCCATCCTGTTTTAAATATGCTAAGATTTAGAGGACAAAATAGAAGTCTATTTTATTTTATTCCCAACTTTATTGTTTTTACAATACTCCTTCCTTCTCCTATTTGCTACACAATAACAACTCTGTAAGATGAGTTGGACTGAGAGAGATTGACTGGTCCAAGGTCACCCAGTGGACTTTCACAGCTGAGGCTGATTCTGCCATAAAATAATATTAGGGACCACCAAAACGGAGTTGAAAACTATAATCTTCAAATTGACACCTCTGATTTAAAAGGAAGCTTATTTATTTTTTTATTTAGATTTATTTGTTTAATGGTCCAATACCGACTCAATTTAAAATTTAAATTTAAAAATACAGCACACTATTAATACATGAATAAGTAAGAAGCCTATAAAATTAACATTCCATTGAAGGTGCCAAATGGTTTCTGTAAGCTATGGCTACATATAAAATTACAGCTTTCAAAACACCTAAGTATTGAGTACATACTGCAATATCTTCATCATAAGTGGAGTTTATCAGACTCAACAGTAGGCATATTAGCCTATGCAAGTACAAAAAGGATGTGGGTTGTTGTTGTTTTTTTAAAAAAACTAAACTTATTCTCATTTTTCCAACAATACAGAGAGAAAAAAGTGGCAAAATTTTGCAGATTTCTTAAATATAGTAATTCACTAATAGGGTGTTAATAAAAACAAAACCTTTCCAGCAAAACTAGAATATTCAACAGTGATACATAGTTTTTGTTTTTGTTTTAAATTAGGAAACATCTTCAACTCATTTTACCCATGATGAATATGAAAATAATCATTCGTACTATGGAAGAAGGCTTGCCATTGTAGGAAAAAATCCTAGATTTTAAGTTGCACTGCTTAGCCTTATCTGTACGCATGGCATATGATAAATAGCAGCATTTACAGTGTCACAGGCTTCCGAAGTAATGTTCACTTCCATAAATCACAGCAAATGGCCATGTAGGCTATGAAATATAGGATTGGTAGTCTAATACATTGTAGGATAGCAAGTAAGGAAAAACTGATATTGGGAGGAATTATTATCCAATCCTTTCGTAAAATAATGCATATATTTTTCCCTAAGCCGTATATTCTCTGCTCATAATTTTAATAGTGGAACAAAGGAGAAGACAGAGAAACAATACTGGAGCAGCGGCTTTCTATTCAGCCCCTAGAATGGAGCCTCAGGTTTGGTCTGTGGCATGAGATGTAAATTAAACCTGCAACCCTTCCTCATCTTAGCAGATAAAAAGGGCCATTTAATTCAAATAGATTTTCTGTTACAATACATACTTCAAGAAAGCTGACTCACTCCTATCACCATCATTTTTGTATAACTTTGCATATTAAAATTTAGTTAAAACTCTGAACTGCTTCTCAGATGATCTATTTTTTTCAGTGATGTACATCCAAATATAAGAAACATTAATACAAGTGTCCCAGATCAAATTTCATTTTAATAGATATAGAAGAAATTCTATGGAGCAATCATTTGATTATTTTTAGTATAAGCCTTTAATAAATGCCTAAATTAATATCTTTCATACTGAATAATTTGCTAACGTTTAAAAGAACAGTGATTCCATTCTCAATTCAGCAATTATGTTATGAGAATTCTAAAACTTTTCAAAAGTTTGATTTTAATGAAAAGTAGCTATAAAAATGCTTATCACAGACATTGCTGATTAATAATTTCCCTTTTTGTCTTTTATCTCTTCTTTACATTCTAATGTTAGTAGCAAAAACATAGCCCTGGATATCATTTCTTAGACTTTCTGGTGTTATTGTTCAGTAACCTGTTTTACTTTCTATAGTTAAAGAGTGTTTGCAATTGTAGCAATTAAGAAGGAAGCTAAAGAGCCTTGTTATATTGCTAAAATAAGAGAATATATACAGTAAAGAAGTTGGAGGAAAATAAAAAAAGCAATACTTGATCATGGCAGTGGTGTTCAGTTTTGTTAGATAAAATTCCTGGCACAAGTTTCTTCTAAGATACTTCTGAACTATTTATTCATTCCAGCTGAATTTCAATATTGGTGATACAAACCTTTACATATCTGTTTAAAAACATATATTCTACTTAATGCAATAGGCTTACTGTCGAGTAAGGAGAAAAC